AAATGGTAAAATCATAACGAAGAGCTTCTCGCCCGTCGAGTGAGATGCACCCTGTACACTGCTACGCAATTCAGAATCTACGCGGATCGAGGGGTAGGGCGTAGGTAGATCGGAATTTATAGATATAGACGAGTGGCGGCATTTTGGCTTTTTTATATCGCAATTTGTAAACAGCGCTTATTTGTAAACAACCCCCGTTTTTAGAGAGGTATTTTAGATAACAATCGATATTTAGAAATGTTATGACACCCTGGAAATACTACCCCGAGCACGTCATTGTTGCAACTGCGTTAATACGCCTGGCGGTGACCGCCTCATATTCTTTCAGATATTTAGCAATAAAATAAAGAAACCTGTTATTTTTAAGCTGTTATTTTAAGCTGTTTTTTATAAATAACTATAACAGTTTCAACTGTTATCTAAAAATAACAGTTTTGCCCATCACTAGTGTGAACGTCGTTCTAATCACACGAGTGTTGTAATCATGTTTAAACGCACGTGTCATGTACAACGTTTTAATATCTACAACCGAAAAGTAAGAAAATGCTGTTTTAATTTTCGTATATTAATCGCCCACCTTTAACTATGACATTTGTCACACATATTTTTTGATAAATAACTATTAGATGTTCGTAGTTTTTTTCATTATTATAAAAACTAGTTCTGTTATAGATTCATAACACCACTAGTTGTGTTATGAATCTCATAACGTAACTGAAATACTAAAAAAAAGTGATGTAAAAACGTTATAACTAAACGGTTGTAGATAAAATGTATATATAATTTATATACTTTTTTATTAACATATTTTAGTATGGGCGGCTATACGTGCCTCCAGGCGCCAATTTTTTTTCGTTTAATACAGTTATTTTTATAATATTTTAAGTAATCATTCGTCACTAAAATTTCAAAAAAAAATATATTAATTTCCCGCTTTGCATTCCAATTGTACCAACTTAATTTCTTTGTAAAATAAAACAAACTAGTTTGAAATTAAAATGACAGATACATCTATCACTGTCAAGGATCTTGTCGTTGGACAGATTATATTTACATATCCCAAGTGTTTAATAACATAATAACCACTCAATCCGACGCTATATTTCATGGGCTTGAGAAAATACTTGCTCTTCTCTCTTTGTTCAGTATATCTTACTGTACAGGGTGGGTCAAATTCGACGCTTTTAAATGGAAACACCCTTTTCTATAGGAGATAGACCAAAACTAATATCGGTGTTTGGAGCTCAATTTTTGTCAAAAACAAGATGGTGAAAACCGCATATCGATTCGGAGTTACAGGGTGTTTTTCAAAAATATGCATTTTTAACAAATCGCTGTAACTTTTTTGCTATGGAACATTTTGTATCTTTATGAAAACATTTTCAAGGCACCTTTTTACGTAGAATTTAATGGTTTAAGTATATTTTTTTTTAAATTAATAATTTAAGAATTATCAACAGAAAATTTGACATTTTATATGGGACACCCTGTATATTTTTAATTTATTGAAAAGAATTTGAAATTACCTTTCCAAAAATATAACACACTTGATATTTTGCTCGATTCCTCTTCGGGATATAGAGTATATAAAAATTCGCCCGCTTTAAATAAGTGGGCTTTGAACGGCACCGGGTCTAATGCCAAAAAGTTCTAGCTGTGAGCATCAATTAAAACGAAAATAATATTTGCTATGAGAGATGCAGAATTTTATAACAATTTAAAATATATTTAACCAACATCAACACATTTAAACTATATCTAATAACTATAAAAATAAATAGCAAACCAAGACATGAGATTTTGCTACAGGTGTTCGACATAACGACCGTCTTCTGTTATGGACAGACAGGGCAATTTCTGAACATTTCTCGCGGAATTCATTAACTCAGTAGGGGTGAAAAATACCCTCTCATAACTGCTAAGTATTTCTAATTCTTGTCTAGATTATACGGAAGAATAAGGAACCTTTATTCTTCCGCAAATATATCCATAGGATTAGATCCATGGGCACTAAGTCAGACGGCCTCGACGGCTGGGATCTTGGTTAGCTATTCAATTATTCTTGAAATTGGCTGCAAAAATTTGCTGATAACTTCAGCGTTCAGAGGCGGTGCGTCGTCTTGCTGGAAAAATATGTTTTCGAGTTCCATTAAGGGCATATCATCAATAAGGGGTCCAAAGCCAAAAGTCCAAAGTTAAAAGTGGCGAACTTTTAAAAATTCTGTATTTCGAAGGGGATTATAACAAAATATCAAGTATGCTATATTTTTGGAAAGGTAATTTTAAATTCTTTTCAGTTAATTAAAAATATAGAGGGTGTCCCAAATAAAAAATCAATTTTTCTGTTGATAACTCTTAAATTATTAATTTTATAAAAATTATACTTAAACCATTAAATTCTACGTAAAAAGGTGCTTTGGAAATGTTTTTATAGAAATACAAAATTTTCCATAGCAAAAAAGTTACAGCGATTTGTTAAAAATGCACATTTTTGAAAAACACCCCGTAACTCCGAAAGGGTAACAGATATTGATGTGCGGTTTTCACCATCATGTTTTTGATGAAAATTGAACTCCAGACACCGATATTAGTTTTCGTCTATCTCCTATAAAAAAGGGTGTTTCCATTTAAAAGCGTCGAATTTGACCCACCCTGTACAGAGCACATACTGACTGTACTCTTCGTACACACGAAAATCGGCACCCAAAACCACACCGTGCCGACCTTTACATGTATATAAGTTTTTGACATAATATATACATATAAACGTCAAATTCGCGTTATATAAGTGGACTGTCTAAATATTTACATGGGATTTTATGAGAGCGGCATTTGAGTAACATTAAAATAAACAAGTTATCGGGCTTCCACTCTCAAAGAAATTAAAAATCATTTTCGGCTTAACACATTATCCGAAATTTATGCTATCGGTGATGGCGCTTGGCCAATTTTCAAAATAACAAAAGGAATATTTAAGTACCAACAAATAGAGGGCAATAATAAAAGAAAAGTTTGTAAAAAAAAGAATATCAGTCAGAAACAAGATTTATCGGCCATTTTTAAGAGACAGAAGTGAAATATGAGCAAACAGATGACTAGAAAGACACTATCTAAGGCAGGACCTGACTTGTAGAATTTCTATAAAAAAAATAGCCATCTATATTCCATATCAATTAAACTTTTAGTTACGCAATCGAGGGCGCGATTTTTAAATTCATTGTTGCCAACCATAGACATATTCGGTGCCCTACTGAATAACTGGAATTTAATTAATTTAAATTAATTTCGCGCTGGGGACTCAGGTGGTAGCTCTACTGTAAAAAATGTCAAGTTGCCGCATTTATTTATTTATTTCCTGATATTATCATTCGTTTTGACACTTTAGTTTTGTATTAGGGTAAGTCCGGTAGAGATGCCCAACTTTTCTTTTGGGGCTAATAATACATATTGGTAAATTTTAAATGAAACTAATGATGCAATCCTAAACTATCTTTAATAATAATTCATAATAGGACTAAGATAGTAATATAATAAGTAAGTATATATAATAGTAAGAGAACAATAAAAAAAAAGAAAATTGGCCATCTCTCTCTACGTTGCGGGAGAGATGGCCTTCCAACATGGGAAAAATGCCCCGCAAAAAAATACATATACATATTGGTTAAATATCTAAGGTTATTTTTTATTTTTTTTTAACTAATATCCAAAAGTTGAGGATGGACCTATGCTTGCTTTTTCTGTGTTGTTGTTTGTCTCCCTACGTCTCAAAGTCCTTGCAGGGATTCCCAAAGCATGCATTATGTGTTATGCCCATTTGGTCGGAATTAATCGCTTGCAAAGCAGCAGCCTTTTTTTCAAACCACAGAGCGCTTTTGGGATATTTTATTTTATATTCAGTAGGCATGATTAAAAAAAGTTACTTTTTAGTAAATGAATTAGTAGGGCATCTTTACCAGCTTTCTATGTGGCATCTCTCCCAATACGATGGGAGAGATGCCCCACCGCAATGTTTTAAAATGCAGCGACATATGATTAATTTTTTGAAGTTATGATACTTCACGAAGCATGTATTTTAATATAAAATGGCATGAAATACCAAAAACTTACATTATATTACGTTATTTCCACGCGACCTCTGACTGTAAAAAAATATGTACCTATATAAAAACAGTTCTTTGTAAAAACTAACCTATTTTTTTATTGACATTCAAATTATGTCAGACCATAATAGCAGCAGGTAAACTACTGCCTTATCTAGCGGGAAGCAACTGATAAGTCACATGATTAGAAATATACACGCTGTGGCCATCTCACCCGGTGGGGCATCTGTATCGGACTTACCCTACGAGTTTTTTGTTTAAATTAATAGTGTTGTGGTACTTTAAGCTTGAAAATGTTTACTAGCAGACCTTGCAGTCGAACATTGTTCTTTTTAAAACTTCTTTTAGTGGGAAGTGTACAAGATAGCTTGATAGCTGTAAAAAATCTCATCGCAACTTTATTAAAATATTTTGTACGGGAAAGCGGTAGTAATGGCCCTTTATGTCCCTTAAGTGCTGTTAAGAAGGTGAGTTTTGTTGACGTAAATAATAAATGTTTATATATTTATAATTAATTTATTTTTGTTTCCTAAAATATTTTGATTAAAAGAAAATATCTAAAAGTGGACAACGCTGTGCCGGTCAAGCTTAATCACGTGACATCCAAAACGGAAAATATAATTTACCCGTAAATTGGAACGATGTTGTGTGTGAATGACATATTTTCCCGTTGGATAGACTGCATAGAAATATTTATTAGTGAATAAATCAATTAAAAAAATTATTTAGAATCGTTACTTCGTAAAATATATTTATATTCTTGGAATATCATTTCATAAATACGGAGCGATCAACAGTGATTGAAATAGTAGATTGAAAAAAAATCAAATTCAAATGCACCAAATCAGTTATCAGAAGTGGGACGTAATAAAAATCCTTGCAAATAAAAATGGCACTTACTTGAGCCTCTCCCAGTCCCAACTCGATCATCTCCTGACTCTGGTGGACCAGGCTCTGTCTCTCTTGGCCTTCCGGGGCGTCAGGTGGGATACCGTGAAGTAGACCAGCGTGTTCGCTACGTAGCGCTTCCAAACCCTGAGCTACCGTCCTCACGGCAGCTACTATCTCCTCTTGCGTCATAGCGGTCATTTTGCCTAAGCTCTCGATCTTTTTACTGCAACAAAATATATGCCATATATGATCTTTCGCGTCATTTCATAATTTTAAATTTGTAGATACTGTAATGGTGAAGTGATAATGCGTGAATAGAACGCCTCGATCAGCAAGCAGAGACTAGGTATATAGGCTAGAATTCATGTAAATGTAAATGAAAAATATGATTCTAATATCAAATTCTGTTGTCTCAATAATCACATCAAATTTGTTTCATGATCAACCAATAGATTTAGTTATTGGAACATGAAATGCTCTTACTTTGTGTCATGACATACCGGATGGCCAAAATCTGTCCATCTATTATTATTATACCGTGCTATCGAGACTATTATAAGTATAACATATAAATGACTATTGTAATTAAAAAAATATATAAGTCTAAGAGTATATAGTCTGCCCAGAGTCTGGAAAAATTTCGATAGACAGCATCTAAAAAATGACCTGAATGAAAATACAATTTGGCTGTAAATTAAACTGACAGACTCTACTGGCTGATAGGGATCCTCCCGTTGGACAGACTATACCTTCATTATATCCGACTATATACATTTTTAGCGAGATAAAACAACTGTGTAGTTGACCGGTAATTAAATAAAATATATTTTTAGATTTCCTCCTTTCATACACAATACAAAAAACATAATATTGCGGACAATAACCCCAATGGCAATAGTACAAAATCTATTTAAAAGTGTTTATTTTTTTTTGCAAAGTATGACTGACAAATTGGATATTATGATGTCTTGGTAATATTTTTATTTAAATTACAAGGCAGGATCTAAAATAATTTAAACAAGAAAGTTGTATTAATTGGTTAAATATTAGTAATTTCTGCATTTGTGATTTGGTTGTTGCATTGTGATTGTCGTTACAAGAGGAAAAACTTTTTGTTATTGACATTTTTAGAAAAATCTATTCCTCATAAAAATTTTGGCTTGTTCTATTTTGATTAACCCCATTTATACATTTCCAAATTTCCGTACCGTTTTAGAGAAAATTAAAAAAAATACAAGAATATACGGTTGAATTGATAGATGGTTAGTATTAATTTTGATTAACGTCATTGCTATTTTTTGCTATTTTCGTTAAAGAAGCATAAAATTTATAATCCAAACAAATTTTGTGCTTCTTTAATTTTAATTTTCTCTAAAGCGGTATGGAATATTGGAAAAATATAAACGCAAGTTACCATTTTAGAACAAGCAAAAAGTTTTATAAAGTATGCATTTTTCTCAAAATGGCAATAATAAAAAAGGTTTTTCTCTTGTAAAGACAATCCGGGGACGTACTGTATATTAGAATAGTCCATTTGCGGTATATTCAAACCTATTTTTCACTTAAGAAAATGTACCTATAAAGTGTGCATTTTTATCTAACACACAATTATCTACTACTAAGGTTCAAAAGTATGTAAAAGCAAAGTTAAAATTAGATCATTGAATATATTTTGAATGAATAAAAATGTATTATCACAAATACTTTTGATTAAATACTTTCATGTCACAAAACGCATTTCGTATTATCACCGCTATTTAATAATGGCTTCTGTTTTTTAATATTATCCATCTATCTAATATTAAATAAATCAATATACATAACCCTAATATAGCAATACAAACTAGCATGAATATGTACATACATAAGTAATGCAACAAGAAAATATCTGGGTATTGCCATTGAGTCAGAAAAGTTATTTTGTTTAAAAAGCCACTGGGTTTGAATCGGATTCCTCAGTGGCTATTTACTTGTCAAGAAATTTGCCTAACCAACAAAAAATTAGTGATAGGATAACTTGAGCGAAAATTCGCTCGAGTTCTCGATTATTGGAATAACCGACATGCAAGTGACGAGTTACGAGCGACGAACACAAGCGATCCTAGAATGAAATAAATTAAAATCCGATTTTAATGTGACATACTCGATAAAAAGCCGAGCGAATTTTCTACATTACATTGCAGGTAGCAAATTTATACGACGCCGCATATATATTTATCCGTTGCGTATCTGAGGGACAAAATTTTACGACCTACATCGACAATGCTTTGATATAAACTAAATCAAGCGATCAAGCGAATCGCTCGTCGTTTGCTACTTCCCATTCATCACCGAAAGAATATGTGCCCTGCGCACGCAACTTACTGCTTGGCGCTTGGCGTTAACGAGTACTTACAACAAGCGACGGGCGGAAAACCGTATTTTTAAAAACGAGCGATCCTTGGCTCGAGCGATCGCTCGGTTATTGCAATCGCTTGAAACTGGAGTATTATGGAAATTAATCGGTTTTTCCCATCACTATAAAAATACTTAATAATTTAGAGAATATGTCTAGATCCGTCTTTATACAAGGAGAGTCTTAAATAAGTACAAATATTTTCAGGGCTGGTAGATAAAAGAAACATATTTTCATTTTACAATTTTTTAAATAAGTCCAAAATAACCCAGTTATTTAACTTCGAAAATTAAAAAAATATATATATTTTTTTTGCTTAAATTTCGAGAACCACTGAATCTTTTGTGGGTTTTCTTTCTTGTAAATTTAATCTACTACCTATATTGCCATATTAACAAGAAATTATGTTTTTAACTAAACAATAAAAAAATTTCCATTTTTCAAAAAATTCCAAATTTTGTTTTTCGCAAATAAAACCTCATAATCGTGTTTCTGGGGTCGAACTATACTACCCCTAAAAATATTTGCACTTATTTCAGACTCACCTTATAGGTATATTTAAGTCCTCCAAATATTTCTAAGAAAATGCAATTTACCTTTGGATTAAAATGACAACTGCTACTGTCATGTTGCCATGTATTATCAGAAGCTTCTACGTCTCACTAGTCAACTCGCATACCCAACAATGTTGCCGTTTGCTGTCCCCCTATTTTATGAACGGCGGAAAGTAACGCCTATTCATAGATTTAGTAAGAACAGATATCACATTGTGCATTTTAACCCGATCAAACAATCAGAGTCAATCAAACAATCAAACATCTACGTACTGTAAAAACCAACTGAGATAGAGAAGGCGACATTGCCACATCTCAAATTTGCGCCTATCTACTTAGTTTGATTTGCAGAAAAGGTGACTTTAAAACCTTTACCGGATATCAATAAATCTCAATTTCTTAATTAAATTTATAGTTTATTTTTAAAGAAGCATGCGTAATAATATGTTATTAACCAGAGGATATATGCGTTACTATTAAAGGACATGTTTACTGTTTAATGTGCTGAAACGTCTAGAACTATTGGCAACGTCGCTGCTAGTCTTCCAGAATGAAATGAGCCGTCCGTCCCACCACCCCTCGCGACGGCCCTTGGTCCGTTATAGCGTACTACGTTTAGCTTACGGTGTGTTTGAAGTCGGAATCAAGTCCGAAGTGAACTTTTCGGTGTTTTTCATTAGTTTTTGTTTTTGTTTAACGTACTTTTGAATCTGCGAATTTTCAATATGGTAGGACAGTGTCAAATGTGTGGAAAAATAAGCTCAAATTACCCGAATTTGTCTTTTCACAGGGAGGTATTGTTTCCGCCGTAATCGTACATAGGCGTCCCACAAGGGAGCCTCTCACAATTAAAATAATTTCTAATTATATTTGTTGAATTTTGATCTATTAAAATAAGAACGTAGTAGCCGGTAATTGAATTATAATTCGTCTCAATTACTACCTAACTGTTGTAAATCATAACAAATTTGAATATAAACGTTGCATTTGAAACTTTATTATAAGCCAGAAAAAGTGACATTTTTTTTAAATTGCGTCATATTTTGGTCATTATATACGATATTCTAAAGGAATTTTGCTCAACAAATAAACAAAGGTGTTTACCCGTCCTTTTTTACATTTTATTGCTTTATTATATCTTATATCTGCCCCTTCGGTCTTGTTTAGACAATTTTTTACCACCGTAGAATACAAATACCTTTTTCTAGAGTTATTTGTGCGGTGTGTTTACCTTTTTAGAATGGGACGAACTGTAAATAATTCTTAGGCTACTAGTTTTATACATACCTATATGGCAGAGTGACCCAGGCCTCCAAAAAAGCTTTTACCTTGTGATTTTTATTTCAATTTTTACATAAGATCGGGGCCATTGTAAAGCACATTTTCAAAATATTTTTGTCAACATACAGGGTGATTCAAACCGCAATACATATGCTTAATACAGTTCATGAAGATTGGGACATTTAACTAAAATTTGATTGTCTGATGAAGCTACCTAAGTAATGGATTTGTAAATAAACGTAATATTCATTATATTATTATGCGACAGAAATCCCATACTGTAGCACACAGATTTGATACTTTTAATGATACATGCCTTCTATTGAGAGACTAAAGGTAATTGCCTCTGTATCAGAGCCATCATAATACGAGAAGAAGACCGAAAGTCAAATCTTGTCTTATAATTTCACTTCTTGTTAACACAATTTTCTCATTAAAATACATATTGATTTTAGGTATAGGAAGCTATCGATTGCGAACTAACTAAATCGTAACTAATTACTAATTTTGAAAAGTTCTTTTTAAGATCAAAAAAAGTAAAACTAAAACCTAAACTATCATTTGAGATTAAACGGGAGGTTCTAAATAATGTTGCCTATTCTAAACAAGAAAAATTTATTTATAAGGTTTATAACATCTCTAATTAAATTTGGACGAAAAGAATATTTCTGTTTGCTGTAGGTAATTTTCTCAGGGAAAATACGTAAATAAAAATGACTTTTCAAGTCAAAAAAGTCAAAATTACAAGTTATCCAAAAAAGGACAGGTGGCAACCCTAGGTATTTCTGGAATGGAAATTTAATGGCAAATCTACAACTTTAGTTTGAAAATATGTTCCGGCCACCTATGTTTACAAAAATGTCTAAAATGTGCTTTACCATTGCCTCCATATTCTAAAAAAAAATTGAAAGAAAAGTCACCAACCACAAACCTAATATAGAATTGTTTCGGAAGCCTGAGTCACCCTGTAAATATTCAAAAGTAACTGAAAGTTTATAGAGAAGTAACTGACAGTTTAAATTGAATATCGACGTTGGAGCGATTTTCGAAAACTATCTACTAACGTTTCAACATAAGTATATGTGGGATATTAATTATATCATTATATTAGACCTTATAACAAAACTCATCTAACGAAAAAGTGTTAATGTAGTATATTAATATGGAGTAAAAATTTTACTAATTACTTTACTTTTACTTTACTACTTAAATTCGTTCCAAAAAACGATACGCCACTGGCCATTAGAACAATCCAAATGTGCCTAGTTGCCGGGGTCGGAAATTTTAGACTTCGCTGTCTCTTCTGTCCTTGTTCGACACATTGGAATGTTTGATACACTACCAACGAGTATTTATGAATGAAATGTTCGGTCTATCTTTATAATGTCTTTGTGCCTATTTTATTTATTTACAGTTATCGGTAATAGCGATCAAAATACGCTGTAGGCATCTTTTGATTGCGTTGGTTAGTTTCTGGGGTAAGTTTTTTTCTGTTTAGATTGCACGCGAAATACCCGACCGATTATGGGTTATGGGCGTGCAGAACTGCGAAATTGAGGGACAACAAAAAACAACATTGTTGAGTATGCGAGTTGAATAGTGGGACGCAGAAGCTAGTTGTATTACCTCGTTGGACATACCCTAGCTAGATTCAGACATTATAGCAAAGATATATCCCTTAAAACCTTAAGTGTTTTTATTGGTTAGACAAATTTGTTCGCAAGTAAAGAGCCATTGAGAAGCTGGTTTCCATTGGGTTTTCACCTAGTGGTATTTTACCATGGAGGGTAGTAGAGATAAGGAGAATTATCTTCGTGTATCAAAAAGTGGTCACCAAAGAAGGGACAATTTAGATGGCGCTGCTGAATTTCTACATTTGAAAGTGTCAAAAATTTTTAAAACAGGAAATAATTAAGAGATAGATACGAAGGCGTCACTAACTTCACTTCATGTATAACCGCTCCGTTCAGTTTGCTCCCTTATTGCTTATTAGCGCTACTGACTGGAATAATTTAGTGAACCCTTTTTTTCCTTTTAGATGAGCACTTTTTCAAACAGTCCCTTATAAAAGATTATTCTCCTTACCTCTACTCTCCATACATTTCACAAAGTATAATTTCTTAGCTTTATGTTTAAGTGACAAAATATCGAGATATTTTCCTATAATGAACTTTCCACAAAGATATAGATTTTATTTAGTTGAAATAATGTTACTTGTGAGTCACAATTCACACAGAGAGAACACAATAAAGTTAATAATGTTTATTAATGATAGCATGAAGCCATCGATAAGAAGAAAAGGTTTACAATTGAAGATTATTAAATAAATAAAAAATAGAAAGCGTTCTGATATAATGATACTAGAACCCGGGCTACACATAACGTTTTACCTTACGCCTTACCCCAGTTTAGTAAGAAATTATATAGACGCATAGATGAAAACTATGTTAGGGTTTCCTATACCTATCTAGCTCAGATTTTGAATAAAAAGCGAATTTTCAATAAAATGACAATCAAGATGGCTGGTGCTATGGAAATTTTCTAGTGACAGTACTGTTCTAAAAACTATTTTTAAAATCGGTAATTAGTTTATGGACTTTATTATTTAGATTTATAGCACTTTACTTTAATTTGCCCACAATAGTTTAATAAGTAAGTATTCATTATTTTATCCAGAAAAATAATGCAGTATCTGCTGGCGGAACGAATGGATATAATTATTTCATATATTACTGTTACTAGTGATTTTATTTTATGAGGAAAATTGCTTCTTGGTCTCAAGGGCTTATGCTCAAAGATATCCAAATATGAATATTCCTGATAAGCGTTCCTTTGAAAAACTACTTGTCCTATTTCGCAGGGCTTGTAGTGTGGTTTATAAAAAACCTATTAGGCAGAAACCTGTCGTTGGAAGTGAAGAAAATTAATTTGCTTCAATTGGTTCTTTTATAGAAAATCCATATACATATCAACAAGTCATCGTAAAATAAATCAAAGAAGTACTTCTTCGTTTTTCTTGATAAAATAATAAATACATATTTAATAAATATGTATTATTAAACTATTGTACGTAGGTACATTAAATAAAAGTAAATTGCTACGAATTTAAATAAAATCCATTTCGATTTTGAAACAGTTACTAACTGCCACTAGAAACTTGCCATGATGACACTAATTGGTTGCAATTTTATTGAAAAATTGCTCTTTATTAAAAATCATAGCTAGATAGGTATAGGAAACTCTAATATAGTTTGAAAGAGCATTTAAATCTGCTTCGACTTATTTTAAAAAATATAGAGTATTGCATTTGAAATAACGAAGTTTTTATGTAAAATAAATATTTATAGATCAGATAATATAGCAGCAATTGATACCCCTGTATATATTACGCTCAATAGACGAATTCGGGCAATGCCAGAGAAAAATACGCAAATCTAGTTTTGAGCAAGAAATATTTCCCAAACCCGAAAAATTAATTTTATTCCATTATTTTTTTTGTTTATAGTGTGATTTGATTGCATTGGTTTCACTCTTTTTGGTTGGATTGGTTTAGTTATTTGGCGAGTTGGTTAGCGTGGTTATTTGGAGGGTGTTAATTCATTGGTTAGAGTTGGTTTTTCGGGTTTCAGAAATATTCCTTGCTCAAAACTAGATTTGCGTATTTTTTTCGGGCATTGCCCGAATTCGACTATTGAGCGTAACATATATACATTAAACGAAATAATCAAATTTTTCAGTAAAGCTTATTTCTCTGACTTGAAAGTCAGCCCTAGAATTAATTCTGAAAAGTAAATGAGATTATATAAAATGACATTTTAACAGAACGTCAACGGTTTCTTGTAGACGTATCTGTTTTAAAAAAAGTAAAGTGTTCTCGAATAGTTGAATTTAAATATTTTAAATAGTTTTTTTCTTTATTCTTTGTATTTTTTTTGCTTCCGACGACGGAAAGAGTTAAACTTTCCGAAACGTTAAGCATTTTTTTCTTTGTTAGGCAAATTTGTATAACTATAAACATAACTTCTGACCAGTAGTTTCCGTTTGGGTTTAACGCAGAAGTGTTTACAAAAAATAACTATTTTATTTTGTAGATTTTCTTGCAGTGCAGTGGCGAAATACCCAAATAGGATTTTTTAAGGTAAAACGTTATATGAAGACGGGGCTTAATATACATAAGTTTATTTATATTTCAAAAGTATGTATTTAATGACGTATGCTTGAAAAGCAACTATGACGGTTTATGGAAGGCAAGCAATGGAAAAAATATAAAATTGAAGAAAACTTACATTCTATACGCGTTAATGGTTTTAGACATTTTCCAATCTGCTCTCTTCTACTATCATTACCACAAAAAACAAGTCTACCCTTTCTAAAGACTTTTGAGCTACGTATTTTAAATCAGACTTTTCAGCAAATACTACAGTTTTCCAAAATATCCCGGAAGCTTCTAAGCTAATTATCACACGTTTCAAAGCACAAGTCTATTTTAATCATGAATATGACAAAAATTTAAGTCCAATATATCTTTGAGTTCAAAGCTGATCAAATATCATTAATCCTTAAGCCTAGGTGTATATGAGTTGTATAAGTTATAAAAAGTTATTATCGAACGATTTTGAGATTAGCTTTTTTATTGTTAATGTTATATCTGAAACAAAAAAAAATAATTAAAACAAAACGAAATTTTAGTAGGAGGTACAGGTAATTTATTTAAAAAATAACTCAAAACTACGAACTAAATTAATTTTATAAAAATAACTACTATTATTTCTATTAACTATTAAATCAAATACAATGTAATTCGATTAAAAACTGTGGTGCGAAAATTATTTTTTTTAATCGAGCTTAAGATCATTTAAAATCGAAAGCAAAAAATAGAAATCGGTACCTATCTATTACTGTGGGTAAGAAGAAGATTCAATTTCATTAGTTTGTAGCACTATAACCTTCTTGGGTATATTAAAATATAAGATAAAATTATTAAGAAAAATAAACGTGAAAATGGGAGAGTTTCAACTTCAGTACAGAAAAACCGTTTCTTTTTTATACTAAAGTTACTATATACACTATCCCACACTGTTATAAAATAGAAATAAATATATTATACAGGGGAAGTTTTAAATAAGTGCAAATATTTTTTAGGTGTAGTATATTTTGACCCCGGAAACACGCCTATGAGGTTTTTTTCGCAAAAAAAAAATAAAATTTTGAATTAAAACATTTTTTAATTTTTTTTTGAAATTTTCTAACTAAAATATCTCGGTTATTTTAGACTTACATATTATTTGAGAAACGGTAAAGAAGAGATAATATGTTTCTTTTGTCGAGATCTACCAACCCTGAAAATATTTGCACATATTTAAGTCTCACCCTGTATATATACCGGGTGTTTCTCAAAAGTGGCTCATCCTTATAACTATTTTATTTTTTTTTTCAGACAAATATACGTATGGTATGTAGTATATGACAGTAGTATATGACATAAATTATGATTGATTGACGTATTCAATTGTTTTCAATCACTTCTTGTTTCACCGGAAATTACTACAATTTTTAAAGGGCACCCCCAGTGTTTTTTTTACTTTATTCAATAGAAAAGGACACGTTATATAGAATGACATATCAAAAGTTCTTATAATAACAAACTTTTTTAATTTAAAGAATTAAGAATTTTGTTTAAACAACCTGAAGCAACCTGTGCAAACCTGAAGCATGTACTAGGATGTATTTCAGGAAAATATTATATTAACTTTTACAGGGTAACTGAAAAATATGTGAGTGGATCGTGCTATTGTTTTTTAAATGGAACACCCTGTATATCATTGCATTTTTGGGTGACGACTTTCATACGAAGCCAAAGCTTACATATTCTGTAAACTTTGACAAAGAGGAGGCTCCAAGGAGAACCACAGTTTGTATTGAAATTAAATTTTGTGAGCATATATAAGTTAATTTAGAGCGTTTTTTTTAAATATAGAGTTCTACAGTGTGATTTGATTTTTAAATGAGACTATCGATATTTTTTACTTTATTCGATAGGAAATGAGGATCTGAATAGAATGACTATCTGATCTGAATTGAATGAATACGTCAACTTTTGACATTTTCGCATATACGGTTCATAACGACAATTTGGATCAAAAAACCAAGTGTGTGGTACCAAATTATTCGAAACGAAATTTAGCCTTTTCCAAATATGCTAATGAGCCACCCTTGTTCCATTTGAAAAAAATTGAGATATGATTAAAAATACGATTTGGGCATCTTTTAACTGGTCAGGACAGGACTCTAAAAACATAGACTATCAAATTTATTTTTCCAAGGCTCCTTGATTAAAAATTAATGTTTTTAACGCAGTCATGGCATTCTAGATTGAAATTTAAAATACGATTTTTTTTAAGAGAAAATGTCAAAAGTTGATATATGATATGTCATTCTATCCAGTGTCATTTTCTATTGAAGAAAGTAAAAATATATCGAGGGTGTCATTTAAAAATCAAAAGTTGTAGTCATTTCCGGTGAAACAGGAGGTGACCAAAAACAATTGAATACATCAATAAATACTAATTTATGTCATATAACTAGCATACCAAATCTCATTTTTTATCTGAAAAAATAAAGAAGTTATAGGGGTGAGCCACTTTTGGGACGCACCATGTATACATGCAGAAAAATCTGCAATTTTGTAATTGAATGATAAATATTTGTATACATGCAGAAAAATCTGCAATTTTGTAATTGAATGATAAATATTAGTACAATCTTTTTTGTATACAAAATAATTGAGAGTTTTCCTTGAATTAGGAGTAATGTGTGGTTAAAATATATCTAGACACATAATCAATGACCTTCAACACGTGAAAATTTTCATTTAACCTAAAACATTATTTATAAATTTACAAAATATCAGTTTCTAAAAAATTAATTGAATCACCTTGCCTTGCAAAATTCGATAAAATCGAACTAAAGAAAAAATAAACTAGATCAAACAAAAAACTGCCATGACGTTAACAAAGGAAAGAAGCCAATTAGAAAAACTATCACGTACATCGAGAAAAATCGATAGACTTTTCGTAAAACGATCAATTCCTATATACGTTAGCGAAGCCAAAAAGCGATCTGTATGCGGTAAAAAAATATGTTTCAATTGCTATAGCAAAAATATCAGTTATATCATAGAACTTCCGTGTTTTTTACTCTTTTTTTCTTAATACTTAAAAACCCCTGTTTTATCTCGACGTATTTTTTGAATTAAAATCACGAATACCAACTTTAATTTGCGACAATAATGCTACCCGACTATATCACGAATCGCGAAGAGAAAAAAATATTTTTGTCTACATTTTATTTTGTTTTCTTTGTAACGACTCGTGTTGGGTGATTTCGCGACGACTGGCGTCGAGGGGGCTTTCGACGGCCACACGACGCGTCTAGCGAAAAGGACGCAAGGCGTCGCGTGACGTCACGCCGGCGGTGGACTATGCGCCGTGAAGGGGTGGGCGGAGGGTGATTACGAAGCATTTGGGGCTCGCCAGATCCGCATTATTGATATTCGGTTAGTGTTTCCGATTGTTTGCCGTATTTCATTTCAATCAGTACATTACTTCACCAAAAATATTTCTTATTACAGGTTTTATTATGACAAAATTAATTTTGAACAAATAACTTTTGGCTGAACTTTCGTTTCGCTGAAATCATTTATGTAGAAAATAATTCGTATTTGGAATCATTTCCAAATAGAAAACCTAAAAAAAATCAGTTTTTAACTATTCCGGGTGCGTCTCAAAAGTGGCACACCCCTATAACTTTTATTTTTTCAGATAAAAAACGATATTTGCTATGTTAATATATGACATAAATTAGGATTGATTGACGTATTCAATTGTTTTTGGTCACTTCCTGTTTCACCGGATATTACAACTTTTGATTTTTAAATAGCACCCTCGGTATATTTCTTCTTTATTCGATAGAAAATGACAGTCAATAGAATGACATATGTCAACTTTTGACATTTTCGCATATAGTTTATTTGAAATTGTAACATGCGATTAACAATTTGACTCGAAATACCAAGTGTGTGGTACCAAATTATTCGTAAAAAATGTTTTTTTAAATATGCTAATGAGCCACAGTTCTTCCGTTTGAAAAAAATTAGATATTATTAAAAATAACGTTTGGGTTTCTTTTAACAGGCCAGGACAAGACACGAAAAACATTAGACGATCAAATATATTTTTCCAAGGCTCCTTGATTAAAAATTAGTGTTTTTAACATTTCCATGGGATAGGGTTCCCAACCGTCCCGGTTTGACCGGGATTAACCAGGAATCAGAAAGTTTGTCCCGGCGAAAATTTTGCCTTGGCCGGGACCAAAAAAATTATATTTACATATAATATATTTGAATTTCTAATATTTAATGTTTTGTTTCAATTATTTAAAAACTTAAAAATAATTGTCCCGGAGAATCGCCGATGCTCAAGTTGGGAACCCTACCATGGGACTTTAGATTGAAATTTAAAATACGATTTTGTTTTAAGAGAAAATGTCAAAAGTTGACATGATATGTCATTCTACTCAGAGTGTCATTTTCTATCGAATAAAGCAAAAATACACCGAGGGTGTCATTTAAAAATCAAAAGTTGTAGTCATTTCCGGTGAAACAGGAAGTGACCAAAAACAATTGAATACGCCAATCGAAACGCACCTGGTAAATTAAATGAAACCAGTTACATGAAAACGCGTATCTGTTTTTCATTCTAGACATTTTTCTAAACATAAACATGCAAAACACTTCTTGCGGACGTGTACCATTTTCAATTATTGATAAAATATTGTAAAATATACATAGCAAGACTACACTCGGCCAATTGGATTACATAAACAAGCGCGTTCGACAGGTTTATTCGTGTCGTCTACTTTTATAAGTTAGGTTAATGTCATTTATGTCTAGCTATAGATCTAGCAATCAAAATACGCGTGTTTCGATTGCTATGGTTTCAGCTATGGTTCTTTTTTGAATTTGATGTTTAAATTACAGTATACCGTCGTTGAGCGGCATTTATCTACCAGGTTAAGTTCATACCGCCGTCAACGACAAATTAATTAAATTGAAAAATAAACAAAATATATTATTTTTATTTAACCTTTCCAGGGCTGTAACTTCTTTGGGAAGCATATTAGGGCATATGTTCAAAGGAACTTTTTGTTTTATTTTTATCTGTAGACCAAACCCATCAAAGTTAGATACACTATTTTTTGACACCCTGTATATCCTCGGAACCCTGTTTTTACTTATGATATAAATTGAGATATAGTGGTGTACAATGTTCCATCGATGTTTAGTCAAAGTTTTAGTTATAGCTCTGTTTATTTCAACAAAAGAACTTAAGTCAATGTAATATTAAAACTAATAAAATTATATACACACGGACAGCTGTAATTTTATTTATTTTAATTGTATGAACCTTCTATTAAACAAATTTAACGGATTCACGTATATTTTTCCTTGTAAAATTACTATAACTTGCTTCAGTGTTTTGTAATTGTTTATTAACGCGTAGTAAAGACGAATTAATTGTTTCCGCTGGTGTAGGTACTTGCAAATAATTATTTAAAGCTTTCTCCATATCCTATTTGTTAATCTGAATGGTACAAAAAAGGAATGTGACCTGATAAAATTCGTAAAAGTTGACGATCGTACCGTTAAAAGTACATTTACTTTGGAGTACTGCATTTTGGACAATATTATAATTAGTAAAGAAATTATGTTTTATCAACTACAATATATAATACAATTAACATATTAACATTACTACACCTACATGAAATTTCATTTTCTGAGGATGTACAGTCTAAAAAAGATAATTTACAAAACAATAAAAAAGGTGACCTTCTAATATTACATACAAACGTAACTACACACCTAATTTTGTGAGGTATCCACAAAGTAACAAAAAGCAAATGGGATGAAAATTATTGTAATTAAAGAAACTGCTGGGTACTGTGTATATAAATAATAACTTATGAATCATTTAATCAGCCTCTAACTTTCAAGGATAAGCACAATATTTCTAGTTTACATAGGTACATCGAGTTTTACAAGAATCTTACTTTTTTTCAGACTAATATCATATCCAAACAGTTGCTCCGGCCTTATGTTATAATAATAGCAATTACTCAATAAGTTAAAACAAAAAATGACAGTAAATTCCTATGCGACACAATGAATACTTACTCCTTGTTGCTTTCTTCCATAACATGGGAAAAAGGTAACTGTGACGATTATGGTATTTAACAGACCATAACGAATTCACCTACAGAAAAATTTCCATGAAAAGCCATCTAGATATATCCGTTAATTATATAGGGAATCAGCACAAGAACAAATAATTGCCCGTTTTTAATTTAGCCACTCCAAACAAAAATCGCCTAACCACTTGATAGCTTATGTCGTTCGTTTTTTAACGGATCCAGTATCAACCAATAGATCGTATATGAATAACACACTATATTTTAACTAAATCTAATCTAAATTACCTGAATTAAACAAAAAAAATCGGAGAATAACTAGTTGACTGATATTTTTTTACAACACACACCATTAAATCGAGAAAGTATGGCTACTCTTTGACAGCTGACATTATTGACAATTAACTGACAGTTGACAGATAGATGCGCTGTTGCACGATTGTGTTTGTTCTCTTTAAAAGGTAAGGGAAATCTATTTACCTTGCTTTGAAATGGTTTTAAAAAAATAAAGTAAAAAATAGTGAGAGACATAAATTAATTTGTAGCAATATAATGAATAGATTTTTATTTATAAGGGATGGGGATAGAAGAAGTAATATCTATACCATACTCTTTGTTATAGTATCAAAAGATATGGTCTATACTAGGTAAATATTTAAAATATATTTTTAAGTTATCTTTACCCCGACAATTTTTAAATAAATATCGATGTTTAAAAATTTTTCAGCCGGTCATGACGTCGTTTATTTTTGATCATAGGATACATGCGGAACCAGTGATAGGCGAGTAAAAAACGTGTAAAAATAGTTTTTTTGACATACAGTCGGTACAACGGATCAGGGAAGATTTCGACAAACGACATCCAAAAAATGTAATATTTTACAATTTTCTTATGAATTAAAATGACACTGTCATATATCCTCAATGGTTAGACTATAGCCATAGGTGTGGGATCCATTAAGATTATTTGCTTATGTAAGTTAATATTTAAGTTGATTTTCATAATCTCTGAATCATAAGGTATTGACTGTGGTATTGAGCTCATATTAGTCACGAAATAAAAATCTTCAAGGCCTTTAAAATCTGTTTATTTGACATTAAAACAATAATAAATTTGTAATCTCAAGAGGGATACCTCTAGAGAAACAATATTAACCTATTTATATCATGTAAATATAATAAACTTCATTTTTTATGCATAATAAAAGTAATGTAAAAAAGAAAAACACCCACGACATAGTACGGAGGGGGCTGTTGTCTACCCCACCGTTAGATGGCATCTATGTCGACATCATCGGGGCCATCATCTTCGTGAACAGTTGGCTTCTGAGGGGTCGCCACAGGCGTTGGCTTTAGCGGTGTTACTTGAGCACGGTCATCATACTCAATTTCAACCTGAAAAAAAAAATAAAATAACATAATTTCGCTAATAAACGTAACTTTATTAAAAGATTCTGTCCTGCAAAAATACACACAGTCACATTTGTCTAATATTAAAATTTGAAAGTAGATTTTTTCAAATGAATTTTTTTGAAAGTCATCTATCAAAATCATATATTCTTTCAAAAAATTAAACCAAACGAAGACAACAATATAATCGTGGATTGGGAATGAAAAATAAAGAGATATGCTATAAGAGATAAATTATCATTTATTATGATTATTAGGTTTGTTCACTTTTTTATGGTTTTAGGACTTTTTTAGAGTATTTTCCATCCCTACTTTTGTTTTACAGGGATTTGACGTAGCTGTATCTACATGAGACAGTGTGTTCATGGCCGGGAAATTTAAATAAATATAACAGCTTATTAAAAATAGTTCGTTGTTAAGCCACCCAGAGTGCGCAAAATTTAAAACTACCAATCAACTTCGGAAATGTCAATGATTTGGATTTTAACACTAAGTTTTACTCAAGGAGCCTTGGAAAAATAGTTTTGATCATCTAATATTTTTCGAGTCTTGTCCTGGCTGGTTAAAAGATGCCCAAATCGTATTTTTAATCACATCTCAATTCTTTCAAATGGAAGAAGGGTGGATCATTAGTATTTCTAGAGTCAAGTTGTCGTTATAAACCGCATGTTACAATTTCAAATAAATCATAGGCGAAAATGTCAAAAGTTGACATATGATATGTCATTCTATTCAGAGTGTCATTTTCTATCAAATAAACTAGAAATATACCGAGGTAGTTATTTTCGGTGAAACAGGAAGTAACCAAAAACAACTGAATACGTCAATCAAAACCATGATACAAAGAATACAAGGTATGATATTTCGCAGGTTGGTCACTACGTCACAGGTGATAAACCGCACCATTGGTCGGCAAGCTCCGCGTGCTTATTTCAAATTGTCAAACAGATGACATAATAAATGTGAAAATAATTTTTCAAATGTCAAGCTCGATGATTTGACATAACTTTTGGGGTTATGTCTTAATTCTTCTCTATTTTAGGTCTTTTTTTATTAGTGGCAATTGAACAATACGGATATTTTTTATATGGCGTATGACGTCACAGGTGGTATGCGCAAACTTAACGAAATTGGAGCCGCTATCGATCATACCGTGGCTAACGTCATATTCAAGGTCTGACTGTTTTGACAGTTCTACCGAAGTGGTCCAGAATTAGTAGTCGTAAACGAACCAATTGTTTTCATTAGTTTCAATCACAAATCTGTGTTTTTTACGCGTTTCTATGCTAATAAAATTATACTAAATAATTTTGAGTGAATAGTGAACTATCTAGATCCGATTCATAACATCCTACCCGCGAAAAAAACCATACTTTCGGTAAAAATTATAGTAACACCAGCGATACCGGCTGTGTATCCGGACTAGGAAAAAGTTGGGGAATTTATATAAAAACATAATTAATAGCGTTAGTGTTAAACCAACGTAAGTGACGTGTATTTTTATGTAAAACAGTTTTCGTTTCTTTATTTTTACTTTGTGAAATAAAAAATTCCGCGACATTGTTCTGTGTCTGTGTCTTGTAGCAGCAATTATAATAAGTCCTCAGGATCTGTCTACATTCTCTTTCCCAACAATATTAACTGTAACTAGGTCACGTCCAAAACCTACAGAACATGCTGTGCCTACAATTTTTCCAAATCAACCCTGTTATGGACCCTCTCTGCATGTTCCCATAAAGAGAAAATGTCCCGATGAAAGAAAACAAGATTTGGAAATTCAGGATGAAATAAATATTGAAAAGTATTATTATTATTATGAAATGGCAATATATTTTAAAGAAATTAAATGAATTTGTACTTTATTTCAGTATTTTATATTAAAAAAATGATATCTTTATCTTTTTATTTACAATTTATGGAGATGGTTACTTGATGAACATCGAACTACAAATTACTTAATGTTAATAGTTAATTCTATCTGATATCCACTTTTTTTAAATATGTTAGGCAAATTTTTACAATTACTTTTAATTAAACTTTAAAATGTATTCTGCCGTTATCATATACAATACATTTTCTTAACTTGTCGATAAACGTATAGTTTTCAAATTTTTTAATATTTGGAAACTTTTTATCACAAGGTATATTATTACTAGTTGCTAAATACTCGCTAACGCAATTTTAGGACACGCTTTTTATTATCTAGATTTTATTTTGTTCATCTTATGCTGTAGTTTATTTCATATTAATATTCGTGCTTTAGATCTAAATTTTAATGCTATTCAATTACTTTAACGCGATAAAAAGTTAATGTTATTTTTTAATACCTTTCTGTATAATATTTTTCATATTTATATCTGGCAAAACTATCAATTAATACTATTATTTATGCAAAAACTATATGCAGTACCATATGGCACAATACAAAAGCCGGACTAGTGCGGTGACGTTACAAATCGATGTCTCTGGCCTGTCTGTCATGTTGGTTATGATCATACCTTGTTTTCTTTGTACCATGAATCAAAACTAATTTATGACATATACTAAAATACTAAATCTCGTTTTTTTTATTTGAAAAAATAAAAAAGTTATAGGGGTGAGCCACTTTTGATAGGGGTGAGCCAGTACTGTATTTATAGACAATGTCTTGTAATACTTGTGGAACTACTACTTCTTCTTCATCTGCCCAGCAAATAAACATATGATTTTGACAGATTTTGTCATTTTAAAACAAAAGTAATTTTTTTAGTTGTACTCTTACACTGTTATCAACTAAAACAATTTTAATGAAATTCCTTACCCCATCATCCGACTCATCTTCAGATTCAGAAGATTCTTCATCTGCTTCCTTCAGCCATTTTATGAATGGTGCTGCCTTATCGTGTATCTCTTGACTAACCTCTTTTGAAACATATTTTTTTGAAACCTAGAAAACATAATATACAATTATTTCAAAATTTAAAACAGAAAACACAATTTTTTTAGTACGCTTTGTATGACAACAAATAAACAATTCTTTTGGAAATTTACATTAGATGTTCTTTTAATTGTCCGAGTCCAAGCTTTTTTGGCAATAAAACTTAATTATAAATAGATAAACGTTTTTAAAATCTTATAAAAATATTTACCTTTTCAGCCCATTCCAGGATAGATGTTTCTTGCAGAATATCCAAATCGTAGAGCAATTTCAAGAGGGCTGGGACTCTGGGCATGAGCTGGTTCTTGTGCAGCGCCACCACTTGTTCTAAACCACCAATCAGATAACGCTGGGCTTTCTTATCGTTAAATGTGAACCGGACCAAAAGTAGGCGATATTTCTTCGCCTGTTGTAAAGCGTTCTGATCGAACAGCAACTCCATCAGGACCAGGGGAGCTTTCTGCTTGATTTCTAATCTTTCGGCCTCGACAAGCAGCTCTTTCTGATCGTCGGCTTTGTCTAAGGAACCGGCGTCCAATTTCTTCTTCACCAGCAAATAAAATATATCCATGCGTTCTTTTTCTGTCTTTTCAAGATCGTCGCTTATGGTCATGTTCTTAGCTCCATCTGTCAGGTCCTAAAAACATAAATTATTGTCAAAAACGAGTAAACCTACATTTAACCTTTTAATTTTTAGAAGGAAAATATTGTGTATGCACTATGTGTGCATATTTGAAGTAAAACTTCTTACTCACAGCTATTAAATTGAAGAATTTAAAGGACATGACATGTCCTTAAATAACAAATAGTAACAAATAGTTTTATATGCGTAAAATAAAAAATTAATAAATAATTTGATTTGCTTTCACAAAATTATAAGTTTATATATACCATAAGTTTAGCATTAAAAACTATATCTCCAACATCACAACATGCCATTTTCAAACCTTCTTTATTGCACTTATGAAACGTTCAATAGGTCTATCCTTTCGGAGGATCTTACTTTGCGGATTAAAAGTTGCACGTATTTCCAAAATAATCACAATTTTATACGGTCTTAAGCTTCATTCAGAACCTCGAAATCAGTGGAATAAATTAGTAGTTTCAATTAGCCGTAGAAGTTTGTTCACCTAATTTTAATGTAAGTATTCAGAACGTCATAATTAGTGGTAGTAATTTTCAATTATTGAAAAAGTTAAAAAAATGTTGACTTTTCCACTAATTGTACTTCAAAATTTGGTCATTTTGGCCTTTGATTATCACCCGTCAAAAAAAATTTTGGTTAGAAATCAAAAGTTGATTGTTTTATAAGCCAAATATTGTGCTTTTTCTATGGATACAACAGACTACCGCAAGCTGTTGCTAGGATATTTTATTAATTTTAATTGTGTTTTTTAGACATTGTGATTGTCGTAAACTAAAAAGTATAAAGTGTAATTGAAACCACTAATTTATTCTTCTAATTGGGAGGTTCTGAATGAAGCTTTAGTAAGTACTAATTATACATTGTTATGGAAACCAACTTTTCATTGTCATCATATTGTATTGAATAAGAGTGGGTTCCAGGTGGGACCCTGCACTGCGACCGCGGGGGCCTATTGTGACTCAGTTTCTACAAGCTCTTTAATAGAAAAAGAGCATTAAAGTTCACCCTCAAGATCCAGCCTTTTAACATAGGCCGTTATGTCCGAGGGTGATGTATCTCCTAGTGTCATAATCATATGTCATAATCTTATTTCCATCGTGTAACGAGTTTTTTGCGTTTTTTTATTTTTAAAAATTATATTAATTACTCTTTTATCGACCGCTTTTATACAGCCAAGGATGCAAGTGTGTTCAGTGAGAAGTCAATTTTAAGTTTGTGCAATTAATTATATTTCTATTTTTTTTTTTTCGTTGGACTTTCTAATACTCGTAAAAATGACTAGAAAGTGTTTGGTGTGTGGATGTTCTAATATAAAGGTCCCCGAATTATCTTTTCATAGGCAAGTAAAGTATTTAGTTGTTCTTTTATTTATATTAAACCACATGCATACTTTCTGATTAGATTTCCTAAGAATATTGATATCCGTACGTAGTGGCTAAATGTACTATTTATATAATTTAATTTTTGTGACAGTGAATATTTAATTTATTGTTCAAATATATGCATTTTACAAATTAATTTTTTAAAATTAAAGTTTAAATTTAGCGCGTGGACGATAGGTCCTCGACAAGGATAGAGTAGAAGCACCGCGTGTGCAACAAAAAAAAAGAAGATAAATTGAAGTCGCTGATATGTTTGCGACAGTTTCCATAGTGATTTACTTATCCACGTAAGTATATAATATGATCTAAAGTGGTAACGCTCAAATCAAGACGAGACAGATTTTACTCAAGCCAAATATTTGAACTGCACAAACTAACGATTTCTAAATAAACAAAAATACGAGTAGCGGAAAAGGGGCCAAAAAAACCCTACATATATGCTTATTCCAGAGTAAGTATATCGCCGAGTAGCGACAGAAACCGTGGGCTCTTTTGATGTGGTGGGACCAAATTTTCTTTCTCTCTCTTTTGACGTGTTTGACAGATAGACTACGTATTTAACTGCTCAACTTATGAAGTGGTCCTATAAACATGGTATACACTGCTCATAATTTGAAGTGAAATTAATTATAAAGTTTTATACATATTTTTTTTTGTTTTGTTTTATCCTTATTTCTAAAATTGAATGTATAAAATATCTTACAGCTAATAAATAATTAAAAAAACGATTCGTTGCCTGAGGTATACTTGAAATAAAGTATATAGAGATATTTGATAAATGGCAACAGTGGCAACTTCTTCTGGCTTCTTCATATGACAGATAACCTACTTATTTCGCGCAGCCGCAAAGAAAATTGAAAACGGGACTATCGCTACTCGGCGGTTTACTTCAGGGGGTGCCAGTGAAATAGGAAAATTGGAAACAATCATTAGTGTCAATCCTGTCATCTCCTGACGACAAGTATGGCCGCCTAGACAAGGACAGCAATGTTTCTGTCTAACTATTGTCTAACTTCACAGTTTAGAATTGACAGATTTCAGAGACAACTTCAGATTTGTTCTAGAACAAATTTCGACGCCATTTTAATTCTCTCTGGTTAGTTTTGTTTTGTAAATTCAATTTGATATTTCGGCAGAAATTTATAAATATAAAGGTAATAAAGCATATAAAATATATTACATGAACAATCCTGGAGAAAAAGACGTTTCTGCAGTACTAGGTATGTCCCATGTATATTAAAAATAGGTAGTAAATAAACACTATTTCTGTATTTTTTAGATGCAAGAAAATTTTGTTATGTTTATGATCGGCGATTATTTTGAAAATGGAAACAATTTACAGCAAGGTAAGATCATTTTGAACTATAGCCAACATTAGTTATCTCCAGTATGTGCGATTTATTGTCAATAATGCAGTAAATCTGACTGATACAATCTGATTGTTATCCGACTAAAAGTCTCTTTTTGCTTCTTTTTGATTTATAAACCAGGTCTCTTTGGGAATAATGGACGTTTTTTTTAAACAGTATATTTATATTTTATACTTATTGATATTTTTACATTGTTAATTTTAGTATAAAAAAATTTGCTTTTCTGTTTTCAGGTTTTTGTATAAGGCTCCCGTTTTCATGTTCCTCTCCCCGTTTTCTGTTCCTGATGGCTGTGAATATGTGTATTTATTTACAAATTACTGTAAGTCATGCTTATACCTTACTAAGCTTATACCTTACTAATTTACGTTAAAATTGCATATAATTAAGTAATTGCTGTAGAAATCATTCAATTCTTTATTTTTTTATATTTATTTAGTCCCGTTGTCTCATATTTCAAATAAATATGTTTGAATAAAATTTTGTTTTGTTTTATTTATGATAAGAAAGAGTACAAAATACATTTAAACTGAAAGGGGGCCCGCCATTGAATAACCGGAAACGGAAATAAAAATGAAGCCATCACACTCACAACGAAGGCTTTCGGAGGCGTATCGTGTTTCCACGATTTAACACAGAGTTGACACTTCTTTCTAGTTAATTATTTTATGGTTTACTTACTCTGCTTATTTTCTGCATTAAGTTCATCAGACCGAAGGGAGGGAACAGCCATTCGACGATCGGTTTCGGAGATTTTTCTCCATCGTCAGGCCGACTTTGCTGTAACCCTCGATCTGACCAACGAAAGCAGAGAATAGCATTTGAGTACAATAAGTACTACTATGGCGAGAGTGCTAGACGCTCTACGCGATCTAGCGGGAGCTGTGACAATCACAGATCGTACCGCCAAAATTATTTTAATTTCCCTAACGATTTCTGTTTACACTTTATGATTTATTTTATATTATATATATATATATATATATATATATATATATATATATATATATATATATATATATATATATATATATATATATATATATATATATATATATATATATATATATATATATATATATATATATATATATATATATATATATATATATATATATATATATATATATATATATATATATATATTTTTTTTGGTACAGTTTGGTTTGCGCAAATTATCTGAGAGTCTAAATGGCCCTATGATACTTGCCTGCTGGCGAGCTCTAACCGCCTCTTCGGAAACATCGACCGCCCATTCAGTATCATCGTCACCGTTGTCGTCTCCGTTATCCGTGGACTTTTCGGTAGCCGAATTGTCGACGCTGGTGTCGTTGTCCGGATTCTCCGAATCCTGAGCGTCGCCGTTGGCCTTCTTGCTGCGTTTCGAGCGTTTACCCTCGGTCAGGGAGGAACCCTGAGTGGCCGGGTTCAAGTTAGGCGGGTTCTTCAGGATAAAAGTCATCAATTTATGGTTGCTGACGAGAAGACCGTGGTAACCGCATGCCTTGCAACCCTAAATAATAATATATACAAATTAACAGGAATGATAGTTTTTACTGTTTTAAACACGATTTTAAATTCAATGTCGGGACTAGGTTTAAAACTTGTTTAAATCATTTGTTTTTAACTAATCTATATTAAACTACATAGTGCAGATGGTATTCAATTGACGCGGCAAAATTTATTTCGATTTTTACAGAGATTAACCATGTTTCCATTAGTTATGTTATTAGAGTTAAGCGGCCCATACATTATCAAACAAATTGCGCAACAAAGCGATGCGCAACGTTGCGTTGCGTTGCTCAACTGATTCAGCGGTTCACACATTATCAAACAAGTTGCGCAACAAAGCGATGCGAAACGTTCCGTTGCACAACTGCATCACCCATGCACTTAGTAAAATTTTGATCAAACTTTTTATTAAAAGTTGTGCATTGATTGAGAAACAATCATGTCCCCAATTGCTATTGCGTCAATTATTATCGTATATACCCTAGATGATGTCAATGATACCAAAAAACCGAAAAAGAAAACAAAAAATTTGGATGAAAGAACTAAAATATTGCACAACGAAGCGCAACAAACACATACACTACACAACGCGCTGCGCAAAAGCCTGTTGCACAAAAGAATTAAAAAAGAACACAAACAATTGCGCAACGCATCAAACGTTACCATACATTGGCAACTCGTTGCGCAACAGCCTTTGTTGTGCAATTTGTTTGATAATGTATACCTATATTTTAAATAATTGTTTTAATGAAATACATAGTTTCAATCATTTTCAAAGTGCAATTATTAAATAATAACTAAAAACCGAACGTTTACTGTAACCCTAATATAAAACAAAAAAATCCTACCTGAGAAACGGTGTTTTTCTTAGTACTGACAAGCAGGTCAGTTTCGGGATTTTCACATTCAGGACACAACACAAATTTTCGGATAAAACCATCAAGCAAATCTTGTAGTTTGACAGCATCATGGGATCCGTTTACGATAAAGCGTTCATTCTATTCACAGAAAAATACATTCATTATAATATGTTAATAGATGAAAAAAATATAATGATTATAAGGCAACTGTCACCCTGTTTAGACAAAATAGCAGTTAATTTCAGACATTTCAGATAAACCTACTACCCTAATGTACTAATAAACTACGAAAGGGCTCTTTATAGTGTGAATTGTCAGAATGCAACGACGCTACCTATTAACGCTACCAGCTAATGCTGAATTTATGAATTAAAAATGCTTCGTTCTCTATTAATGAATTTAAGTAAGATCTTTACAATTTTATGACACACATTTTCTCGAACTTTTCTAAATTAAAAAAATATGTTCAGAACCTCGCAATTAGTGGTTTCAATTAGCGTAGAATTTTGCTACTTTAATATCAATGTAAGCATTCAGAACGTCAAAATTAGTGGTAGTCATTTTCAGTTAGTGGAAAAAGTTAACAAACATTTAACTTTTCCAGTAATTATACTTCAAAATTTGGGAGAAATGTCATTTTGGCCTTTGATTATCATCCCTCAAGAGAAATTATGGTTAGAAATAAAAAGTTGATTGTTTTATAAGCTAAATATTAGGTTTTTTCTATGGATACAACTAACTACCGCAAGCTGTTGCTAGGATATTCTCTTAATTTTAATTATGTTTTTAAAAAAAATATATTGTAAACTCACCGGCAAAAAAAACGGCTACTAAAAACTAGTCCCAATTTCAAAGTTGGATTTCTCGCGAACCACTCGTTAGATTTTGATGATTTTTCTTTTAATCGTAAATTAATTCCTTCTTAACGGATGCTACGTGTGTTTACATGTGAATTGGGATATTGAGCAATGGACTAAAGTCCTTTTCACGGATGAATCGCGGTTTTGCCTGCGAAGCATTTTTCAGAGACGTTCGTTTTAAAGCAGCGTATCTCCAATACAAACAGAGATAATGTAGTGAATAAAAAACACAAAATGCTCACAAAAGATGAGGCTACAATGTGATTTGATTTAGCAATAGTTACTACAGCTGCTGCACCCTACAGAGTGTTACAAAGTTCGGGCAAAAAACTTCGTCTTATTGTTGTGCCCTGTATATGCCCAAAATAAATTCGGAATAAAAAATTTCTGACGTAGCATCCGTTAAGAAGGAATTAATTTACAATTTAAAAAAAAATCATCAAAATCTAATGAGTGGTTCTCGAGAAATACAACTTTGAAATTGAGACTAGTTTTTAGTGACCGTTTTTGCCAGTGAATGTATGTAATTTTAAACCAAACCAAACACAATTAAAATTAATAGAATATCCTAGCAACAGCTTGCGTTAGTCAGTTGTATGCATAGAGAAAGCCTAATATTTAGCTTAAGAATAATAAACTTTTGATTTCTAACCACACTTTCTCTTGATGGATGATAACCAATGACATTCCTCGCAAATTTTGAAGTATCATTAGTGGAAAAGTTAAAAGTTTGATAACTTTTTCTACTAATTGAAAATGTCTACCACTAACAATCGTTGAATCGTTGAGGTTCTGAATGTTTACAGTGAAATTAAAGGAACAAACTTCTACGCTAATTGAAACCACTAACACTGGAAACAATATAAACGGAAAGAATTAATCATACCTTAAAATCAAACAATGTCTGTGCTCCTAATTCGCACCCAAAGTACTTGGTTGGATAAGTGGGCGGTCTGCTCAAGGCTTTTGCCACTTCGGCCATGTTGACAATAACAGTTTTGATGCCGTTTCCTTTACCTTCGACCTTAGATAAACAAACGGTAAGTACATTTAGTAAGAACAACATAAAGTACAAATAAAACTCACTTTGGCAACAAGCCTCGGCATTTTGTAGCGATAGAACACATCGCTAACGTTACGATTCACGTTCAAACTCATCTTGAAGCGATGGGTCTGCTTTCAAATCAACACAAAATATACCGGATGTTATAGATCTGCAAAATATATCCGATTAGCAAATAATGAATATCAAGCGTTTGAAATAAAAAAAATACACAACAAGCAACTTATAGGATTCATAAGGTGTGTTTACTTGTGTATCATGCTCTATAGAATTCTGTTGTCACAGGAAAATTAATTGATAAGACCAGTCTGAAAGTCGCAACTGTTCAGAGTGAACCTTAATAAGTATGTTTTTCTTTTCAGCAGATATTCGGAGGAAAACAAAAAGACAATTTACATTCAAGTTTTAAAGTGAATTATAAGAATTGTTTAAATAATTCATTATAATATTACACAGTAATCTATACTGCAATTATATTAAAAAAAACATAAATTGTATCTCACATGACCTAAACAATTTGAAAATATTAAATTATTTTATATATACAAAAACACTTGATAATTTTTCAGTGAGATAATTTTAACAACAATTTGTATTATAATTTAGACATACCAAACATATATTTAGACATGTGACATACCAGAATTATAGTTATTTAACTTTTTTTTTATTTTATACATCCAGATACAATAAGATAACATATTTGGCGGGTAAGTACCTGTTTGGTACCTACTTCGAAAATAAAATATTTTATATAGTTTTTTTTATAAATAAAATATGCAACCTAATTTTAATTAATCCTATATTCGATAAATATTGTTCTTTGTTAATAAAAAAAACATATATTTAGATCAGATATCACGTGAATAAGAGTCAACTTGACACTCGCTAAGTCGGTATATGCCATTTTATGGATGAGGAACACTGTTCGGAATCCTCGTAAACATAGTAGGTCCTTACACATAGCAAAAACGAGACGTTAACTTTAAAATACTTTAACTAAGTACGTTGTATCTTTTCTATATTTAATACAAGGAGAGACATGTAAAAACTAATAAAATATACTAAATTAACCATAATAAGCATATAGACTGACCTATAGGAAAGCTTAAACCGATGGGGGAACCAGAGGATCTAAAAACACGGATGAATGATTTTGGCGGTCTGTTTCACACACTAAAGCCGAAAGAATGGTGGTGGTGGTAGTTTGGCTAATCGTAGGTACAAAAACAAAACGTGATGGTTGTTGATGGTAGCTGTTGACAGGATCAAGTCACGTTTCTCTAAAAGGCTGCAGTTTCCGGTGTCTATTGGATGAAAATTCCGTAATCCTAAAAAAAACAGAAAATTTAAAATCTTCAGAAAAATATACCACTTTGATGATATTACAGGAAATGTAAAGATATTAACATTACAGGATATGTAAGGAAATCAATAGAAGTTAATGTGTAATAATAGTACGAGAGCTAGCAACGTCGGGAAAACAATTATTTTAAGGAATCTAGCTCTTTGATATATCTTTTACTATGCTCTCTGAAACAGCATGCGGGTCGTCTGGCTGCCGGTAAACGTTGCGTTCACTACTGCGCATTGAAAGAAGATCCACGAGCTAGTCTCCATAGCGCGGCGCGAAAAGGTTCTGCCTATGAAGCGAGCAATCGGAGTTCGGGACCGGCTCGGGGTATAAAACTTTTATTTTATTTTCGTTTATATTCTGATAGTAAAGTATTAAATAATTCTGGTGGTTCAAAAAAACAAACATTTAATACTTTACTATCAGAATATAAACGAAAATAAAATAAAAGTTTTATACCCCGAGCGGACTAAATAAAAAAAATAAGATTTTCTTCCGATCCCCAGTAGTGAACGCAACCTGTATCGGCAGTCAGACGGCCCGCATGCTGTTCCAGAGAGCATAGTAAAAGATATATCGAAGAGCCAGTTTTCTTAAAATACTTTCTCGAAAACGTTGCCTAGCTCTTACGATTATAAAGTTAATATAAAAATATATTTTTATATTAACAGGGGCTGTATTCAAAACACATACTTTAACCGAGTACACAACATTTTAATGACGTTCTTTCCTAGGGTATTTATTAGATATCTGGATCAGTAGATGATTAAAAATAAAGTTTAGAATTATTAAAATAGCATTAACCCTAATCGACTCAATAATAAAATATTGTAAATGTTAAATTATTCACCTACTGCATTTCTAATAAACCTTATGTTTTTGTAAATATCAAAAAATATTTTACTTATATATACATATCAAAAATATAAGACTTATATTTAAAAATTAAACTTAGTGTATAAAAATAATAAAACAGAAGTTCAATAAAGTTGTGAATTTTAATAAAGAAAAAAATAAATATTTGATGCTAAATTTTTAAAATTAGATTAATAATATGCATAAAATAACTAATTAATGAGAATTATTTATTATAGAACTAAATACACAAAATAATTTCACCTAAAAATAAATTTAGTCTCTTAAAAATGGCATTAAAAGCGGCAGAAAATATTCTAAAGATGTTCGGCCATCGTTCACCGTTACGTCATCATTATTTGCCAAATATGAGTTTAAGGGAGTGTCTGAGATAAGTTCATATTGTTTAGAAATTTTTAAGTACATTCCTATATTATTGATTGGACGAGTTCTAGTCTAAGAGCAAGCAATGTTTTCGAGAAAGTATTTTAAGACGTCTGGCTCTTTTATATATCTTTTACTATGCTCTTTGGAACAACATGCGGCCCGTCTGGCTGCCGATACCCGTTGCGTTCACTACTGCGCATCGGAAGAAGATCCTATATTTTTTTTTCAATTTAGTCCTATAAATTCTAGTATTGAATATAAATGGAACATGTCTCCATAGCGCAGTGCGTAGAGTTTCCGACTACGAACCGAAGATTCAGAGTTCGAATCCGGGTCAGGGCAAAGACTTTTTTATTTTATTTTCGTTTATATTCTGATAGTAAAGTATTAAATAATTCTCGTGATTCAAAAAAAAATCAGAATATAAACGAAAATAAAATAAAAAAGTTTTTGCCCTGACCCAGATTTTAACTCTGACTCCTCGGTTCGTAGTCGGAAACTCTACGCACTGCGCTATGGAGACTCGGTCGGTTTATATTCAATATTAGAATTTAAAGGACTAATAAAAATATAGGGTCTTCTTTCAATGCGCAGTAGGGAACGCAATGTTTACCGGCAGCCAGACGGGCCGAACGCTATTGTAGGGAGCATAGTAAAAGATATATCAAAGAGCCAGGGGTAGTACTCTGTAACTAAATAGCGATCGGTAGCGATGAAGAATACTGACCTTGGTCGTACAAACTAAACGGCAAGCGACAGTACTCTTTATCGCTACCGATCGCTATTTACAGAGTTCCACCACAGATTATACAGATTATAATCTTTGTTTTTTCTTTATTGTTTTTCGTGGTTTCAATTTTCGGAATCGGGCACTAGTTAGGTGACTAGTTTGCGCACATAGCACGCCCACTTATGGCCTCTAAAATTGTGCACAGCGCATGACCGGCACAGTTATTAGAGAGATATCGGAAAACCGAATAACGTCATCCAGTATTTACGCGTACCTTATCATGGTTACGATATGCACGAGTCAATTTTTAACGCAACACCCGCTAATAACGTTACCGCCTGACGTAATTTGCGGATCAATTACACCAAGCGCTCTTTCTAAATAACCTCTAATAACGTTCAAACATTGCTTAAATGGGCATGTGCGGGTATTTGACAACCGGAGCCGGCCGGCGAGATCTTTTATTTTAGGTTATGTTTGAATTATTGCTTTAGTTTTATTAGGTAATTTGATATTTAAGTAGCTGGGATTAGTTTTAATTAAATAAATTTGGCCCAAAATATGTATTCCACCTCTTCCAATACTAAAGAACCTATAAAGAGTCTTAGGTTTAGAGCAGATGACGACTTAGCCCTTCTAAGAGAATTTGTTGCTTGTTGCCCTAAACCCACTGGCAGACGTTGAACAATAAAGCACTGGAAATAAGCACTTTAGCCCTTTAGTTTTAAAATATTTAATATCTCGATAACTATAAATGAAGAGAATTGATACCACCTCACGTAAAGGAAATAACACCTGGCCTTATTAACGTCCATGTACGCTATTCGGTTTAGCGATATCTCTCTATTACGCTGTTTATTGTTATTTTACGCGAGTTTATTTTTGCGCACAGGAAATTTGACTCGTTTGCACATCGTCATAAAAAACAACTTTCTTACCACGAATTAGGGACAAGATTTTTATCTGTATACTTATAGGATACCTAATCTGTGGTTCCACCTCAGACGTCTTAAAATACTTGTTTTTCCGACGTTGCTAGCTCTCATACTATTCCGTTTTTTCGGCATTTATTCATTTTTTTCTTGAACTCTTCATCAGAAATGATACTTTTAATTCCAATTCTTTGGACTGTTGAAATTCCTATTTCTAAATGCATTTAATTTTGACACTGATTAATATCCGTCAATCAAATATTATAACCCCAAATCAAATGACAGTTACTAAAAACAACGTGCAGTAATTTATGAAATTCCATAATGACGTCGCCAATCTCTTTCATTTGGTTGTCAAGTAAAAGAGAAAATTCGACAACATATTATGACGTAACAATGAACGATGGCTGAACATTCTATACTTAGTTGATAGCTCTAGGTTACGAAAGTTTCAGTAAATTCCTGGGAATATATATTTTCGTATATCTTACATCATTTATTTCATTTAAACACCTTGTATATCGATGGTAAATAATGACTGACCTTTTCATTTAATTTTAAATGGTCATAAAGGTTCAATATGCAATAAAGCAAATTGCAACATAAAAGCTACAAATGGATCAAAATTGTTCTATTATAAAATTAGACAGTACAATATGCATCAAAATGTGTTAATTGATAAATTTGTGTTATATAAGTAGATGCATAAAGTATTGCAAGTGCATGGTTTTAGGTCCAAGAATCCAAAAATGAACTAAAATACCGGGTGTGTTCCATAAGAAAAAATATAACTTTGGTATGGATCTTAGTTTTGAAACAACGTGTACATTTCAAAGTAATTTTAAATGATGCACATTGCCTCCCCACATATATCCGTAAAAAATTGTTTCTGCATCTTTTCGTTTTCGTATTATCAGCCGAGGCGAATAAGGTGCGCCACCCTGTATAATGGTGTATGGGTTATAATACAACCTTTTTATATTGGATTTTCACGTATCTGACACGGTTTCTCATATCTACAGTTATTGATTTGTTTGACTTACCTATAAGAGGTGAGCTTTCGACGCTGCGAAGTCATACACCTCGCTGGCTCGGGCCCTAAACTCCCAACTATATTTTTGGTTAACAAATTCTCTGCAAAAAATACATACATTATAAATATTTACATAAAAACAAATTCTTAATATCAATTACATTTCAAAATATATTTTACATGTCCCATAATAATGTAAAATGGACAAACCTAGAAGAAAACAATAAATGAGAGTTGTTTGTTGTTGTTTTTTTTCAAACACCTTATGTATTTTAATTAAAAAATAATAATTATTTTCCGAACTTGGATATTAAACATTGCCTACCACATTTAATGTATTCCTTTATCTACTTTACGTGTACATTAACGTATATACATTTATTACACATTAAAATAGCGCGCATGTAATTGTTTTATAGTGCATTTTAATCAGCATTAGGTAGTTAAAATTTTTGTTTGAATATATAAGTTCACCGTATATCGCACATACAGGATATCTATTATTTCACTTACGCAATTGAACATTAATATAAATACTTCGCTAGATAATCATAACTGAAAATTGAATTTTTTCATGCTATTTTTTTGACAACTCGTGCCACTGTCAAAATAAGAAATACATAAGGCCGCTTTGATGGTAATTTGAATTTAAAATATCACTTGCAAAGGCGTTTATAGCTTCTCTGCGTGTGATATTTATTATGATTTAGCTTCTGTGTTACAGTAATGTTTGTTACATAGCAGGTTCAACTGCAAATGATATTAAATTTTAAATAGATTAATTTAATGCCTGTATCTGGTAAACACTGGTTTAAACATTTTGAACAACTGTAGTTTAATGAAAAAAGTCCCGTCATAAGTTAAAAAAACACTAAATTGCTTGTAAAAAAAAATTTCATCATAATCATTTTAAGACTTGCCTACAAAGGAATGAATTATTGTTCAGCTGCTTGTCGTATAGGAAGTGTGAATTAGACCAGAGTTAACAGATTCCTGTGAATATTCTATTAAAATACTTAAACAAATTCGTTTAAAAATTTACCTTGGGTTATTTCCTTCCGTACATCACTTGTATATTACGTTCATAGAAAACCATTGCCCGAAATTCGCTGTTCTAATGTCACCATTTCAAAGAAAAATAAATGGAAAATATATAAGAAATCAGTAGTTATGGCCAATCATTAGCAGAATTTTTCGGATTAATCTGAACGCAGCAAGATTCTGTGTTCGCATAATAGCGAGGGTTTGTAGGAGCGATGCTGTTTGAGGAATACATTAAATTTTTGAGAAAAAAACTATTGAAATTGACGTTGACAGCTAGGACAGAGCTTTCTAATGGTGACAAAGCCAGCTATGCAGTTTAAATAATTATAACATGATTATAACTAGGAAACATGAAATATAACAAGTAGTGTTCAATAGAGTTACTTGAAAACACAGTCAAAGTTAGAATGTAGGTTGCAGTTAGGTAAAAAAGGAAACTACGAAAAGTATAAACAATCTATAACTATGCTACCATATTTGTTTTTTTTTATATTTCCATAAGCAATAATATAAAAAATATTTTCTATGTAGATTTAAATATTATTTAATAAACTTAAAAGTTAATTTATACTGTACATAGTATCCCAAATTCTAGGGTGGCTATTAGGATCTCGGAAACTATAATAGATATGAAAGAGGTAAAATTATGACAAAGTTTCGCAATTTTATGCCCAATAAAAAAATCATCCCTAGATTTAATATTCGCCATCAAAATTTATTTCATGTTGTTGTTCCACGGACCAACTTGTCCACAAAGACGCCATTTGTATCAAGCATGTTCAAACTATAATACTCTTATACTATCTTCCGATGAATTAGATATATTTAACATTCTGCCACAAGTTTCAAGAATAAAATTAAGCGGTGGCTGTCTGGGGCGTCTGAGTGAGACCTATACAGCTTCTTAGTTAAATTGCTGCCACCATTAGAAGATCGATCATCTGTTTTTGGGCGTATTCTTTTTAGTACTACTTGGTAATTTGTTTAAAGCGAATTTTTGTTTGTTTAAACTATTTGCTATGTATTTCTTATTATTTATAATTGTCTATTAATTGGGATCATGTAATCCTGTCAGGTTATAATAGCCAACGATATACAAGAACTGCAAAGCATCATAGATTCCACAGTCCACTATAGTGAGATATTTGGACTGCATCTCAATGTCTCCAAGACTCCAATAAATGCACACCTGAGAAATATTTTCAAGAATTGAGCAAGCGAGAAAAATCGAGAATATGAAATCATTTTTTACAAGACGAGACCTCAGTGCGGAACTCAGAATTCGAATGGCTAGATGCTAGGTACGTCTTCTCTGTGTTACTCTATGGATGTGAGAGCTGGACACTAGATTCACAGACCGAAAAAAGAATAGAAGCCTTCGAAATGTATGTGTGCAGACGGATGCTGCGAACCTCATGGGTACAAAGGATCACCAACGATGAAGTACTCTAGCGCATGCAGAAACAAAAAGAGATACTGAACACCATCAAGGAAAGAAAAATACAATACCTGGGTCATGTGATGAGAGGTGATAGATACGAAATACTGCGCCTCATAATCGAGGGCAAAGGGCAAGGGAAAAGATCAGTAGGAAGACGCCAGAACTTATGGCTAAAAGATTTAAGAAGACGGTTTGAACGCTCGTGTGCGGAAATCTTCCGGACTGCAGTTTCCAGAATCATAATTGCTATTTGGATCGCCAACCTTGGCGATAAGAAGAATCCTGTCAGACAATAAAAGTGATTTATTTATTTATTTAAACGCCTTTAAAAATAAAGAAGAAAACGGTAAGTAAATGACGTGACGGCTTGACATCGCCGAAATTAGCATCGATTGTCATTCCCCAGCCGCCTTTGACGCCGTTTTTTTTTCGATCGTATGGTATAGTTTGGTTTACAATATAATTTTTGTCCTTTTTAAATTTCTAAAAAAAGGTGTGAAAATTTTCCATAGGTGTATTTCCGTGGCACTTTGATTTTCCAAGTTTTTTTTTAATTCAATCGGCATTAGATTAACCCTCAACTGGCACTGCATTATTAAAAAACTGCACTATTTAAACCTCTGTAAAATGTTTACGTTTAAAGCTTAATTTTCATGCGTCCGTTATCCGTTGATACGATGGTCCGATATTAATTTTATTGGTTGACTTTAAAGACTTCAATTGGTTAGAAACGGTTAACCAATCGAAGTCTTTAAATTCAACCAATAAAATTAATATCGTATCATCGTATCAACGGACAACGGATGCATGAAAATCAAACTTAAGAATTAGGCCTCGTCGCGCCATTTACCTTTAAGTTAGGGTACCAACATGCAACTGTTAAAACGCACTTGATTTTATCAAGTATTGTTCCAACCAGCGAGGGCTAAAATTTCATTGGGGGATCTGTGTGGCACCACCACGCCAAGAATGTTTCATTATTAGGATGGTGGGTGGTCTAAAAAGTGTTCCTCACTGGGACGCTAATTTTGAGAAAGCATTAATTGAGTGGTTTGATGAACTTAAAGAGGTTTAAGTGAGATGAAGATCATCGAGACATTGATTTTTCTCCGAAGGGTAACCATAACTCCGATTCGGAATCTCTTACTTATAGAAGAGAGAAAATTGAATAATCAATACCAGAAAGAAAGATATGTGATATATGTCAACCATATGTCAACGAAGAAATGACAAAAAACAAAAACCTCATGAATCAAATGTGCACGATCCATGTGCGGCAAATGCAGATCCTATATTAGCATGAACTGTATTTGAAAAAGTTATGTACATTCAAGGTTTGCAGTTTTGTTCAAAATAATTTATATTTATTATTTTAGTTTCACATTTCAGTTGTTTGTACGTTTAATAATACGGTAAAATCATAAAATATATATATGTTTTTAATTTCTATGGGTTTCCTAGCCAAGTTATATTTCTGCCGTCAAAAATTACTAAAAAATGCGTTTTACTATATTTTTGTGCCCGTTCTTAATAATTTGTTGAAAATTAATGAAATGTTTTCTTCCCAAGTTTGAATATATTGTAAACAGTGTTAAAATAACACGCTTTTTATAAAATCTCTTCATCATGTCGCCATAAGCGGTACAAAAATTCACCACGCTAGTGTGTTGAGGGTTAATAAAAATTATTTGTTTAAAAAGACGAACGACCTCATTATTCTGCAATTTAAATATTTAAAAAAGGTTAATTATAACTAGTAATTATATTCTCTATAAAAATAGTTTGTAGGGCGTCTTATTAACGACAATTAACATTTAAGAATGTAGGTCAAAGGACGAATCCAAGAACCAACCCTTACCGTATACGAATCGGGAGGCTTTGCCACTCGTAAGACTGTTCGTGGGGCGCATGGGGCGCCCCGCCAAAGGCCTGTGCTGCGGGTCTGCAATGGTGAAACGTTGACGGAAGGACCACTTCGTACATGGGACACGCGACGGAACTGTATACACTATCACAGGGGACCGGAGGTGAAATATAGTTTAATGGAGAACAGGAAGACGATAACGGCGCAAGTACGACGGGGGGCAAAGCGGGAGGGCATTGATCGGTCTCCAGAGCACTGCGGGAATGGCGGCGGCGTTGCCAAGCTGTGCCTGATTTATTGCTGTATTATAATTTCATTTTAACCCACGCAGTAAAGGAATACTTACACGCTCTAGTATTAAAATATATGAAATACTGTATACAGTGGAAAAAAGGCTTGGAAATGAGGATCGCAGTGACGTTTTCACCATATTATCTAGATAAATAAAGAACAGGAGGGTTGGTTACACTATTAATGCCCATACAAAGTTGAATTTTTTTATGTTGAGTAAAAATGATATTTAAATAGTGTAGTTTATACAGGGTTGCTGTTATGTATGGAAACGGTCGATTATTAGATTAAATATAGGAGGTACCGCAAAAAGTTATAGGATTTTGAAATGTCTATTAGCGACTAATAAATTTTAGTATACAGGATCGGTCAATAACTCGTGGCACATAAAAATTTCATTTTTTTTAAAGGAACCCCCTGTATTCCTACATATTTCAAATCTCCCTTCAATTCTAAGCAAA